TGAACTTTATCGGTCCATGCATGTTCGAGATACAGGTGATCACGGACGGACGGACGGACGGACGGACGGACGCACACAGGGCAAAACATAAGTCCCCGTTTTCGGACTATGTCCGAACGGGGACTAATAAAATGTACATGTCTGTTATATACATGATACAGATACAGATAACACATTTTTCAATTCTGTGCATTTCATAGGTTGACAGGGGGTTACATTCACTGAACGTGTAATGTGTAAAGTACTTGAACTAATCTGATACGATTGTCAGGTAAAAATAAATTCAACCATTATGATGAACATCATCTAAAGATTCAATTAGAATTGCAAAATAATGTTGACAGAAATAATCCTAAAGAAACTAGACTAAAATCTTTTCAATATTCCACGAGAATTTCGCTAGACATCAGTCTATTAAAATTTAGAATCTAGGCATCATCACACTCACCACCTTGCCACTTCACTAATGCCTAGCTACAGTCCAAGTAATTTCTCATTACTGATCAGATTTGTGTAAACATTACACACACTGGGGGATGTCACAAGTGTCTTGAGTGATAAAACACTCGGAGTTCATTGGTCAGTTTAAACTGCTGCACATCAACAATTTCCAGTATTATTCAATCAACCAAAGCTACGGCCAATAGCTGACCATATTAGATAATACATTTATTACTAATCCACCTGTATTTCTTGGTTTAACTTATCATATTTTCTAATCCAAAAAATATATTTCGGCAGAATTGTTCTATTTAGAAAGTACAAGACAAATACCTATATGTGTGAGATACAAGAAGGTATTTTTTTTTTAATTCTAACTTCAATAGTAAGAATATGAAAACAAATATTTGAAAATATGAATTTTCATTTTAAATTTTCACTTTATTTCTTTACATTTTTGTGATACTATGTGTCTCATCAGAGTAAAAAACCTGAAACAAAACTATAAACGGCGAGTCTCTGACATGATATGATGCCGCAGTCTACATTTGTTAAGATTTCAGGATTTATTAACACCATCAGTGCAGATCAAAACTGTAATACACCACTACAGTATGGTTCAAGCAGAAGATTGGGAGTTGCTGAGAATTCATAAATTGCAATATATACTTACAACTTTTCTATCAGCCTTGATGTACACTCTGTCCTGAATGGATCTTTCACATCTAGATGCTTGATCTTTTCAGCTAGTTGTTTCACATGACGGCTCAGTTTGTTGTACCTTATAGTCACAAAATAAAAAAAATGTTAGAATACCTGCAAGCTAAAAATGTTCATTCCATCATATACATACAATTACAATATTATATTACAAAACATAATTATTTTTTTGCAATTTGAAGACCATATCTGAAATTAAAATGCTTTGCCCAATAATAACTTATAATTAAGTTCAAAAAGTACTGCATACTGACTTGCTGGTACTTTGAAGTGTGTGTCCTGACTTGTGCAACTTTTGTACTTCACCAGAGCTAATTTTGATTTTACACAAGTTGATCAGTTATTCTTTCAATTAAATACTGATATGGAATGAGTTTATCTGAGAAAATACATGCATGAAGGCAGTATTACAATCCTATCAAACTTATCTTTTGATAATTGTGATGAGAATAATTTTTATAAAATATGTATATGAAAACATATGTTATATACGTGTACGACATACGTTAGTATATTTATTGATTTTGTGGTATGCCCTGCAGGGCCAATATACCATTTTCCGTTCAATGCGAGATCACGCATTATGCGTAAAATTAAAACAAAATAATAATATTCTCCTGTCAAATATCAGTCTGTCGATGTGAGTTAAAAAAATAAAGAAATTTGAGTTTAAATCTCGCGAGGATCTCGCAGTTGAACGGAAAATCTAAGTACTAGTATTCACATTGACCCACGAAGATGGCCTCGTCAAAAGTACGCCACCTAAGTCTAATTAGATAAATACTCTTGGATATTAGTAAACATTCCGAACAGGAAGTACATGTAATTATTTCGAAATGATAAATAGCCGTACTGCCTAATTGAATGTGTTCCGCTGAATACTGACATACAATTGCATAGCCCGTAACAGAGACGACATGTGAATACCCAGCTTGTACATGGCGATATTTACTGTGTTAGTCAATATGGCCGCCCCCATGTGAGAGAGATCACTGTTATTTCACATCGGCTAGAGTTACGGAGAACGCCAAATTGACTTACTTTGTATAGTCTTCTCGTTTTTGTATCCTATATTTTCTCATAATACGTACTTCATGGAGATTATTGTCCACCTTCCATGAAATAAAGTCGACTTTCTTTAGGAGCTTCTGCTCGTGGAACTTTAGCTTTCGTACCATGATGAATAAATTATGCAAATAACCGAAGCATTTCCGGCGTCCGCCAAATGGCTTTTTTATCGGACTGCATTTGCTTGTATTTCCATAGTAAGACAGTAGTAAAATGTCAAAAAAATAATGTTTAAGGCAAAGATCGAAGCTCTTAATTTTAGTGAAAGGGTATACGTTTATATAAATAGCTTATATTGTTTGCACTGTATTTCTGTGTCCATTTATATTCGTGCTCATACTATAGTATAAATCTTCGTTTTTGTTGGTGTTATTTTCTGTGACAAGGTAAATTCCTCCCGGGTAGAAAAATTGTGTGTATTTGGATAAATATAATATTACTTTAATTATTAAAACAAATGTGTTTTTAAATAAGCAGAAAGTGTAGTTGGATCACTTGAACCCTACGTGCCAAGTTACTTCCACTTGACTTGCAAAACGCCGTCGACTTCAAGGTGTGCTCATAATGTAGAGACCCACTTCTATTGCAAACAATAATAATAATATTTATTTATTAATTACAAGTAATTTACAAGAAAAATAACAATATCAACATAAACAGTAACAAACAGAAAAAAATAACATTCATACTTGAACAAAAATATTAGACTAAGCACCCTTGAATTCCTTCCAAGAATGTAAACAGTGTAAACCAAAGAGCTGGTTTTTGTTTTTGTTTTCCAGGGTCTCTGATAGCTCTGCAATAAAACAGTCAAAGGCCTGCTATTTATATTTCAACGCGAGAAAAAGGGTAACCCAATTTATGAGCACAGAAATATTTGTACGGAGGAGACAGCCCGGTGTGTGCGCCGCTGGCGACCTGTGGAAAACTGACAATATTAAAATGCTTTAAGGTATAATTCGACTAGTCACATATAATGTACGTGTCAGACAAACAAAAATGTTATCATTATTATATGACAAGTTGATATTTTGTAATAAATGTCACAAATAATTTATTCCAGGTTCGAACGACGTTAATGGGTATGTTTTATATGTAAGTGTTGTGTTGGATTTTTTTTAGGTGTTTCCCGTTTTCCAGCACGTGACTTAATGGGGTTGACACGAGACAGTACATGGATCCATTAACTGGCTGTTTTTATTTTATTTTTTTCTTTTCGTTTTTTGGTGTTTTTTTTTACTTACGTAACTGATTCTGTTGTTCTTAGACTTACATTCGATACACATTGTCTCGTACTTGGTAGCTATTCTCCCCTTCCGCGGATTTAATTTGTATCATTTTTTAAAAACTAAATGTGCGAACGTTTGTCGCTGATTAGCTCGTTTGACACACATTAGCATTTTCTTTTGTTAAAAATTTGATAATATGTATCAAATTGCACATAATTTGTCAAGACGCCGTTACTTGCAGTTGAGCTAAGGCTTCTGACTAACTGTCCTTCACGCTGTCAACATTTAGCGTGGGAAAATAAGTGGACCAAAAAATGTTCTCTGCGACAGTTTGTCTGTCGTGACGCAGCTGTGGGTTTCTCGCAATTCCACGACTCGCGTGTGTTGTCTACCGACTGTGACATTTTTTCCCGGTAATTTTTCTCGAAAAGTGGCCTAACATTTTCTTTCCACGTGTTTACAGTCTTTTGGCTTATCAGGCGTAAAACCTTGTTCCTTTCAAACCGTGACAGGTTGAGTAAAGCTATGCATGATTGGTCAATGTGTAGGCCATGTAATACAACGACTTAGCTGATTGGTCATCGTGGGCGGGCATATACAAGTAGTGATTGATGTCTATTACCGATTCAGTCGAGTGAAAAGTTCCGATTTTCCTACCGCCGAGTACCAATAGGCCAGAACATAGTTCTCATACTCAAACGCACAATTTTGAAGGGAAAACACATGACCGCGCCAAAAATCATGTTAAAACGCTCCATGCCTATTTTTACTAACCAATTATAATTTTGAATGAGCGAGTATTTTGTGTTTGTAATTTTATGCTAATCTTTGGTCCAAACTTCTCATTGGCGGAAGGATACACGAGGGTCTGCCCGATCTTTGTTCTGGCCACACGACCAAAGTTTCTGACAACAAAAAGCCCCAAATTTGCAAGTTGGAGTGTGGCTGTGGATATAGAGAACTGTCGCCCGTGCCGCGGATAACCCCCCCTTTTCGGGATAATAATCATCGTTTGGACTTAATTTGGCCAGGATATTATCAGCAGAAACATCGCCCCATGAAATCTACGGTTGTTAGTTAGTTTTCTCCTTCGGAATGTGGCACCATTGGTCGCTGAAGTTAGTCCTTTTGGTTTTTATAGCAAGGCCAACACCGTCTCAAGGTTTGTGCTCGATCGTTCGTTATTGATGTTTTCGTTGACATAAATCTGCATGCTTCCGAGGTCTGTCACGGTCGGTTCTCCTTCCGTGTGGCTTTGACATGCTCATATCTACCAAAGTAAATTCTTCATCGCCAAATTGCTGATTGGTTTTACTAAGTTTTACGTGCAGTCCTGTTAGTCTTGTTTATAAAGGAAAGTTTGACCCCGTTCAGATTGGTATGCGTATTCATGAGGTTGGTCGCTTCTTCGCCCCGATCGATCGCCGACTTACCGACGCTATCTCAAAACAAATGTTATTTTCGTCAATAACATAGACTCCAGCCCGTTCTTCTTTGTTTTTCGCATCTTCGTTCTTTGGCATCGCACTAGTTTCTTACAATGCTGTTGTGTAGACGGTCGAGAGTGGATCGTTTTTCAAACACTTCTTCGATCATGCGTGCGTTCAGTGCTGAAGCCTTCGCCTTTGTATTGGTAGAAGCGTGGACGGACGCGATCGATACAGACACACTAAATTAAACCAACCAAAGGTCTAGGCATAATGCAGTTTTCTTTCTTCGTTTGACCGCTTCAACGTCTATCAATTTTTTATTGTGAACTTAATTTTAAGTACGTGCGCTGCTGTATTTATTCAAATTCGAAGAGAGAGTCCGCTAGATCTGAAAAAACTAAGCCCAACGAGACACCAGAACTCGTTTGGAAGCTAACATTTGTTGTCGGGCCCGTATGTTTTGTGGCGATGTTTTGACTGGGTATGCCGTTATGACCAATATCTGCTGCACAAACAAACTAAGTATATTGCCTGTGGAGTCGTGCCTAGGAGGAATTTTGTAGATAATTCCGTTATTATAAATTTAGAGAATATAGAGATTGTTGTAGTTTTCCTCATGTGCACCGTATAAGTACACAAAGCCCATTGTACAAAACAATAATACGTTGTATGTTAACTTGTTGATTAGAAAATTTAAATTATAACTCAAAAATGATGTTTAGGCTGGCATGTTATTGAACAACATTAGACAGTATTCGTTATAGTTGAGTGCTTCATGAGGAGTTTATTTGCATTGAGATACAGTTGTAAACATCACACCAGAACACACTTGTTCTGGGGAATCCTTTGCAGCAGTGTCAAGCTATATGGGAAATACACATTTAAATTCTAGGTTCAAGGTCACTTCTCTGAATTGCTCATAATATACTTGTATTTGTGCTGCAGGTGGAAGTTGTACAAGTTTGAACCCTTGTCAGAATGGTGCTCTATGTGACGACAGTGGTGGTATTATTACGTGCAGGTAAAGTATATCAATCTATTTTACATATTGAAGTTTTGGATTAACAAAGAAAACTCTTGTTTATATTTAAAAGTTCAACTTGGTCACTGATTGGTCCATTTTGAAACATTACAAAATACACTAGTGGTATTTTCTATTGTTTCATGAATGGCATACAATAAAAACTCTATAATTTATGCAGCCCATCTGTTCTTTTCTGAATTCTTCCAAGTATTTTTTACCATTGGTAAATATAGGTTATTAAACTATGAAAATGTCTTTGACACATTTGTCTAATATTCCATCTTTATACATGGTTAAATATATTCTTTTTTTTTAATGAAATCAATAAATGGAACTTTTACATACTTTTATGATAGCTTTGCTATAAATGTTGAACTGCATCAATGTCTAATTATGGCCATCTGCCAAGTGGGGAGCGCCAGTTTTTCCCCCTCACTTTCTATCCCCTTCTCCTGGAGAGGTGTTCTAATAAGTCAGTGACAGAGACGAGTGTCTCATCTTATTATGCAAATGAGCAGTGAAGATTCCTAACACATTGACAGAGGACAAAAGGAGTGTCTTGTTGGGCTGTTGCCGATGGGAGTAAAAGAAAGCCACATAAGATGGCATGGTTCTTTGTGATGCCTCCTATTGTGCCCCAATACATGAATGGGATTGCAATGCATGAAAATTAGCTTACTATAGAAATGGATGTGAAACGGAGGATCTAAAATGAAAAGTGTGGTTGCTGCCAGGCGGTGTGTTGAAGAAAAGCTAGTGTGCAATTGTATAGACACAATTTTCGACTCATAATAGATCCCCCCTTCTTCCATCTTCTCGTACTCTGTGAGCTTACTTGTAGGATACAAGTGTGGGTCATTCACTTTTACACATGTGGTGTCCAGGAAGGGGATGGGCCTATCATTTCCCCCCCTGTGAGGCGTATTTGATTTGCCAGGAACCAATACTGTGTTCATACAAGTGTAGGAAGGAAACTGAGCTCTTATTGCGTGTGTGTGTGTGTGTGTGTGTTTTAATGGGGATGTGAGCAATGCTTACTGTTTGCTCGGCAGTAGGGCTTCCATTTCTAGGTTTTCTGAGTTTACACAAGGATTGATAAAGCTTCCATACTGTGCCAATGAGTCATAAATACCTAATGACCATTGTTAATATTCTAGTAAGTGTGCGCTTAAGAGTTGGATCAGCTGGATTTGATTTTTTTTCCACAATTTCTTGCTGTTTTATATTATTTACAATTTGGTATACATACAGTTAAGTATTTCAGCAGGGGTGCTAGGTTTGTGTATTCGAATTGTACGTTTGTAAAACTGGTTGTTATGAGTTGCTGATGATGTCATTATAATTATAAATAATGGAGAAGAAAGGTGTACCCTCGTGAGTAATTTTTGCGAGGCAGCACAGGTCACGGGCCTTGTTTGTAGAGTGCCGAGCAGAGAGCTGTTGGTCTGATAACATTATTTGCATGACCCTGTTAGACGCGTGGCCACACTGCAAAACAATCAGTAATTTAGTATTTTATTAACCAGAAGCAAGACAGAGAGAGAGAGAGACCGTTAACCCAATTTTTGTATCTTAATAATTTGTCATGTCTTAATGTTAACCTTGTGGGTGTCCGAGAATTGTATTTTTTTGGAAAGCATTTACAGTAATGAGATTCAGGAAAAGCTTCATTATGAAGTATGTAAAGTATATTGTCAGTGACATTTATGCATTTACAGATTTGAAAATTATAACATTTTCAGAATAAAATAATTAATTTTTGTATTTACTTTAAAAGATTCGTCTTGTTTAAAGGAGGGATAAAGATTAGTATAAGCTGTCAATTTAAAAATATCATTAGCACATGTAAAGTGACATGTGTACATGATTACACGTTATTATGTCTAGATGTGGAGGTATTATGTATGATTTATACTCAAATTAGCTGCATTTGTATGAGGCTTCTCGTGGGAATTCACATAATTATTAAAACCTATAATGTTATGGCATTAACAAGGCGTTGAAATTAAAACTCTCAATTTGTGAGAAAAATTTGGACGGTGTGATTTGTTGAGTATATCTGGGCAAGTTGTAATGTAATGACCAGATTTTTATTGATGTTCACATTCCAGCTTAAATCCTCATGTAGATGTATCCTTATAGAGTATGCTAGTAATTTATCAGTGTCTGTTATGGAGGTTGATCTGATTGTGACCTGCACTATGTTTTTTCCATGCTGGGATTCTTCTTGACTGACTGCAACAAGCAGGGCCTTTCATACTTTGATGAGATTACCATATGTTTCCAACCACATAATTTCCTTGTGAAAAAAAAATCCTGTGATTCACGTATATTGGATGGATTTTCAATCTAAGTATAAACTCCAGTCGCTTCTAATTTGGGTGGCTTTACCTCTAATTTCAGCTTCCCTTAAATTGCACCAAAAAAGTAAATTATAAATTGTCAATTCCTCTGAACATTATCTTTTGGGACTCGCTATACAAAAATATTTGCATAATCCCTATAACTACACCTGAAAAACTACTTAGACAAGTTGCCTTCAGATTTCCCAGGATCAGATACTAATCAGACCATGTGTTACAGGTCACTTTCTCGTAATTGGTTGGCAAATCTCGTAATAAGAAATTTGCTTGAACAAAACTTGCATAGGTTGTATGTAGAAAGGATGCATGCTGGTAATTAGAATTAAAAACATTAGAATTAATATTCTGAAATAAACAAATTCTTGTTGGGTTGCTTACAAATTAATTTGTTGCACCTTTAATGTGATGTTCTGTAAAGAAAAATGTTTTTTTTTTTTTTTTTGAGGAAGTGATTTGTAATTGGAGCTGAGATTATAGTGGTTATAGACAAATGTTTAAGTGAATGTTTACATGCCAAAAGAAAACAGTGAAAGCTGTGTTACTTGTTGATTTACAGGTAACACATGTATGACCATGTGTTAGCTGGACTGCTACCCTGGCTTTAATATTCTCGTGTGTAAAATACCATATTTTCTTTAATACAAGTTCAATATTAAGAGAAGCCCAACTTTTAGTTTAGCTATTAGGTCTTCTTTTGAAAATGTCTTGCACTCCAGATTCTTTTTACACAGTAAAAAGGGGGAGCTTGTGCTATTAAAATATCTTCAAAATGGTCTAAATTGGGTGAGTGATAATTAGCTTTTTCGGTTTTTATTTGGGTGAGTGATAGGCACATGAGTGATCACTTAGTAAGTGAGCTATGTACAGCTTGCAAAAGATGTGCTAAAAAAATGGTGCAGTGGTGTGCCTTCTTTCTTTTGAACTGACATGCAGACAGACCAGAAACAAATCATTTTTATCTTGCCCTTAACATCTCATACAATTCTCAGTGAAATAGTAAGTATATTTAAACCATAATAGAATTATGGTAAAAATACCCTGAAAATAAAATGCTTACCAATATTTGTACATAACCAAAAGATTGCATTTATTGTATGTTTGATTATTAAAATGCATCTTATTTTCTATGTCAATTACATAAGCACATGCAGTACTAATAGAGAAAA